CCCCCCCCCAACCCACCTGTGTGATTTCTTTTGTGCAAATAGTTACAAAGCTGCAACCAGTAAATAAAGAATGAAATTATCAAAGTGCAATGAGCTCCTAGAGGAAGGTGGGAGCATTCCACTTGCAGTCCTGACCTGACCCAGCCATGGTTCCTCACAGTAGGCCAGGCACCCCAGTCTTTGTTGGCAGAGAAATGCCAATGCTCGTTACCAGTTTAGCCCTTCCCCAGGGCTGATGGTGAAAGGCTGAGCTCACAGCTGCTCCCTTTCACCTTTACCCACCCACCTTCATCTGTGAAACTTTGTAGGAATTTAATTACATTGAATTTGCCCAATGTACTTGAAATTGGCTGATAGGCTTAAGAGCCCTCAAGGAGCCCAGACGATACAGAACCATGAACCTCACCTCCCCAGGAAACCCAGTTGACCTGCCAGAGCCCCTCTGCACAAGGGGCTTGTGCCAGGAGAGCGAGTGAGAACCCCATGCCCATGGGCAGAGGGAAAGATGGTGCCTCATCCCAGGAAATACTAGAAAAGTCTTTTCCCCAAGCAGTGCCCAGAGCAGGCTAGCCCAGTTCTCTGCTTTCTTACTATTATTTGTTTGAATAATAGTTCAATAGTTCTTTGTCGGAAGAGGTATTCCCCTGGACATACATTTTTTGCACCCATTGGGAAAAACAAAGTTGATGTTCTGCCTCTACCTTGAATGTAATCCTGAATCTTTCTGCTGTAACCACTACTTGTTTGTAACCTGTATTTGACTAGCACGCACTCTCCCTTCCACTACGCAGCAAACGGCGAGGGGTGATCAGCACCATCTAAATCAGATGGTGTTGGGTCATCGGATCCAGAGCAAGTATTCAACTGGAAAAGGATAAAAGTGACAAGTTAACGGGGGAGAGAATGGATCTTTAAATTGAATTATTTTTTCAGTTACAAATATTTGAAAAAAATCAATTTTATTAAAAAAATTCCAAACAACCATGTGCTCAAAAAACTTTTCTGCTATGCTGGTGGGAGGGCTTGGGGCCACTCTGCCTTTTCCAGCTAAGGGTGGGTGATCCCTCTGGGTCTTTCTCAAACCTGAAAAAAAGAAGCTTGAGTAGTGGTGCCTCATCCGTTCTCCGCTGCAGGGAGGTTCCCTCTGGCTATGGAAATTACCTACCCTGCAACCACAAGTAGGTCTTACAGTAGGAGAAGCCCCGGCAGCTTTTACAGCCTCCCCCAGCCCAACAGGCTGATCTGGACCACAGCTGTTACGGTGGTGAGGTGACACTGCAGCCTTCCTCAGCCAGATGCCAAACTGGAATTACTTCGACTGAAAACACAAATTTTCACATCAGTAAGTATGCTGCAACTTCCACTCTCCCATGAGCTTGGGCTTCTGAACACGGTTCGCCAGGGCCTGTGCCCTGTTACTGTCCTACTTTGCAGAAGGGAGACCACCTGCTTTTTCTGGAGAAGCTTGTTAATGTGCAGACAACACTGCTGCCCACCACCACCCAGCCCTGTTTTGTGCCAGCCCCTCTCCCTTTGCCAGGGGCTCTCCCCTTGCAGGGTCCCTACATCCCTGCCTTTTGAGTAGTTCTTGCTTGTCAGGGCCTCCTGGGGCTCTGCTGCAGGGCCATGCTTCAGGCAGGACTGGTGGCAGCAGGGCAAGGCAGAGCTGCCACCGTCCGCAGCACAACTGCTCCTGCCCTGGCCGCTGCCTGCCCTCCTGGGATGCTCTGAGGCAACACCGGCGCGAGGAGCCCCCACAGTGCCAGCGCAGGTTGAGCAGAGACATGAGCTTGGTGCTAAGCCAGAGACAGCGCAGAAATGGGCTCATAATTATCAACTGGCAGAAGTTACATCTAGTCCTGGCCCTGTTAAAAAAACAAAGCCAAAGCCCAGCACTCTCCCAAGGTGCAATTTATTTACAAACCCACCGAATAAAGGAAAGTAAGAATCTAGTGTCATTTCATGAGTAGTTTGTGCTCACAGACAAGCGCTTTCAGTAGAAAGTCACAGACTCCACATCCAGAGCCACCACCACAAAGCAGCAATTCTCCACTCCTGACCTGCGTCCCCACTGCCACCACAGGCCAAGGAGGACGCGTTAGTCTCCCTGAGCCAGCTTCAACCTGAACCCCGTCCTGAGCTACAACGGTGCCAAAATATACATGTTCATTTACAGCTTTTTGGTTAACAGTAAAAATCATCTAGAGACTAAAATGACAGCATGAAACACTCTTGTTTAGGGGAGAGGCGGTTTTTGTCTGCTCCCAGAGGAGCCAAGGCCCATCCCCTCAGGCTGTTACAGTGGTAACAGGCCGGGGCAGTCAGGCACCTCTTGCCAACACCCCACATGCCGGTGCCAGGGAGGTGGGATGAGGCTGATGCCGGTTCCCCCTTCTCAGCCCCGGCTCCAGGTCAGAGGAATGTGTCCAAGCGCTTCAGGGT